CCCGAAGTTACAGGTTAATCTAAGCCCCAACTTAATGAAGATCCGTTACCGTAACGCAAGCCTATTTTTCAAACTTTTGTCGTCCGTGGGATTTGAACCCTAGACCTGCTACTTGGAGAGGGTGACGACTTGACCACTTTACTAAGCCACCACACCTTGTAATCTTCTTAATTAGTGTTTTACATATTGTCTTATTAGGATTTTAAATATGTAAAAACAGAAGCTTGCATTGTTCTATAAGTAAATTTGTTATAGCTTCTTTGTCTGTTAGTTCCAAAATACTAACTTTAGACTAATAAATATTATAGCAATATGATTAAATTATATAACAATAATATAAATACAATAATTAAATATATTATTAAATTATTAAAAAACCTTATCATTATTAGTCAAAGTTGTTAGACTTTGTATTTGAGCAATTAAATCTAGTTGTGAATATATCCAATTGATTAATGATTTCTTATCCAAAAAACTTAATTAATAATATCAGATTCTTGATTATTGTGAGATTTTGTTAATACTGATGTATGTTGTGTATTTGGTTTTGAAAAATTTTCTTTAGAATGGCTATAATTCTGTAAATTCATATTAGAATTCCAATTAGTACTATAAGAACTTGGTATATATTGGAATTGTGTATTGTGTATCTGATCTTGAAATCTTTTCTTTATAAGAATTTTGTTGAAATGAAAAAGACTCTTAATTTGAATTATTTGTTAAATCAAAAGATTATAAATCTAATATTTTATCTAATGATATAGTGGCTGCCCGTGATAAGCTTCAATGATCTTCTGATATATTAAAATTTTTAGTAGCTGCAAATCAATATTCAACACTTGGATTATAAATGAAGGTGGAGCATATAAATTATCTGTACTTTTATTTAGTGGTGTAGCATTATCCGAATTATAAAGTGCTGGATCAATATTGCTTGAAGGTCTTGAATAGTTTATATGTCTTGATATATAATTATTAGTCAAATCATAGTTTTGTCAATATGGCCAAGCTAAATTATTAGCTGGCATAGTATTGTTTGGATTAATTTGCTCTAATAGAATATGAGTAGATTTATTAGATTCTTTTTTAAAAAAAACTAAAGATTTAATTTAAATAAATAAATTAAAATTTTACAATAAATACTACTATACTGCTTTTATTAGTTGTTTTTTCTTACCGTATAATTGTGAAATAACGCACAGAGGCATTATTTTGAATTTGGCCCAAATTAAGCTTAATTTAGGCCGAAAATTAAAATTACACCCCTGTGCGTTATTTCACGGTTATATAGTAAATGCTTTTTAAATGCTGTTCTTGGTTTAGAACTTTCTTCTTCTTTAGAAGATTCTAAAAGTAATCATTATTATAATAATATTGTTATTAAAAAATTTTATAATTATATATATAAATACTTACCAACAATTTCTTTTTTTTGTACTTTTCTTTTTTATTTTTAGCTTTATAAATTAACTTAATAATTAAAGTCAAAATTTTATATTTATATATTTTAAACTTATTATGATATAATTAGTGATGATATTATAAAATAATTTTTAATATAAATAGCAATAATAAATATTTTAATTTTTATATTATTACTATGTCTCGACACCGACTTTCAAAATTTAATAAATTCGAAACTCAACAATTTTGCTTAAGAGCACCTAAAATTTCAAAAAATTTATCATCTAATCAAGAAGATAGTTCTTCAACATAGTTACATTTTTATACCTAATTTTATATTACAAGAAAGTTTTTCTAATCATGAAGATATTTCTTCAATACATTTATATAATTCTATATTATAAGAGAGTATAAATGAAGATTCTAATATAGATTATGATGAATTTAATTATGATAATTGGAGTAATAATGAATTAAACTGGAATAATATGCAATTTGAAAATGAAAGTTATGATATTGATTTAAAAAGTGAAGTTTTGATGAAACAATTTTTACTAATATTTGTGATTTGCCAAAAATATTTAATAATACAAACTTTGATGTAAAATGGAGTCAGAAATGTCAATTCGGTATTTTTGAAAACTTCACAACTATGGCGATATTTATTTGGATTACAAGACATATGATGTGTAATATTTTATTTAAATTTAAATAAATTTTTTATCATTATAAATTTTAATTAAATATATATATTTTTAGCTATAGTAGCTTATCAAGACTTAATTCAAATTTTGTTACATTTGCAATTTAAAAAAAGCCACTTGATTAGTAATTTACAAAAACTTAAAAGCTATCATAAAAAATTACCTTTAATGCAAATTCAAAGTCATAAAATTCCAATTAATAATCAGAATACACTATCTATAGCTAAAAGCTCTACAAAAGCTTATTATTTTTATGTAATTGATTATTTTGAGCGAATATTAAAAAATCCTGTTATTAGCCCTCAATTATATTTTGGGCCTCGAGTTTTTTATAATTTATATGAAGAGTTTTTGGAAGGAAATCTTTGGGTGGAATCTCCTCTCTTTGGCCAATCTGATATAATAACTTCACAAGGTAATTATTAAAAAATATAATTATATATAATAATAAGAAATATAAATTTAAATAAACTAAATTTTTTTATACTTTTAGGTTTATTTCAATATAGTAATTTTGTTTAATATAATTTTCACAATACTTTAAAATATGGTTGAATTTGATCATTTGTTATTAAAAATAATTTACTAAAAGTTCAAATACAAAGACTACTTTCACATAATAAATTCCACAATACTTATATTTAGAAGAATGTGCATTACAAGCTCAGCAAGAGTGGTTTTTAGTTGAAGAACTAAATTCTTATATTATAGAACCATTTTCTTTAATTTAGAAAAAGTTGTTTGGCTTAAAGATCAACAGCAACCACTATTTTTTAATTTGTTTATTAATGAAACCTTATATTATTTTAATGTATATTGGAAAATTCACTCAATTAAACTTCAAAACCAACATCCTAGTGAATATATATCAATAAACCACCACCTAATCCATTTATACCAGTTTTAAATTTTTTTTTCGATTTGTACTATGATGATTTTGAAACATTTCGTAATGTATACCACTTATTAGGTGGTATTTATTTGCAAATTGGTAACATGTCATGACAAATGAGAAAGCAATTACATAATCATTTTATTATTGGTTTTGTACCTTTTAGAGAAGATATTAGAGATTTATTAAACCTTTTTTTGAAGAAATTAAAAAACTTGAACATGAATTAATAATGAATTTAAATGGAGTTGATCATTGGATAATAGATGGATTAGATGTTTTTACAGCTGATATGCCTCAGGGAAATAATATTGTTAGAATATTATAGCATAATGCACTGTGAGGCTGTTATACATATAAAGCAACTAAAAATCAATTAACATATCTATCATTTGATATATATTAATATATTCATTATTATCAAATTACAAATCAAGAATTTCAATTTATAAGTTAACAAACTTCAAATAATGCAAAATCTAAACTTTGTTCTCAGTATAAACTATGATCTTTATCTGGACCAATAGATCTATTATTATATAATCATCATTTACAAACACCTTATGATGTATACTATACAATTGCTGGAAAGATAGCTCATCTTCTTGATTGCACTTGTACAATATTAACTTTATCTGGTGAAAATAATTTAATTAACTATTGGAAGATTATTGAAATTCCTATATAGTGATCTCAATTACCAAATTCAATTACTCATAGATGATTATTTATGATGTCTAATTACCTAAGAATTCTAATAGTTTTACCATTTATATTAAATCATTGTTTAACTATTAATAGTATTAAAGAAGATTATTTAAACTCTACATATGATAGATTAAAATTTTCTCATAAATCAGAAGTAAGAAACTATGTTGTTTATACTTGGGCACTTTCTGCAAAAGTGGCTAAAGAAGTATTTTTATTAAATATACAACAATTTGATAGATACTCTAATTTGCAAATTGTATTAGATAATAAGCTTGTTGCTTTGACTAAGCTTTTTTTAGATAGTTTTCAAAATCTTCCTAATTTGCATATAAACTGTCATTTAGTAAATAATGCATACCAATATGCAACTTGTATAAATACAGCAGTTGGAGTAAAAAAAATGGTCCATCGGATATTCAAAGCAATAGTCCCACACACAAACAAGCATAATTTTGAACTTACTTTATTAAGACAGGTTAATACTCTACAGACATTACAATATCTTGCTAATAGTGAAATAGATAATCGAATGCCTAATTATTTTGTACAATCTATTTTTATACTATTAATTATAATACCTCAACTTTGTAACTTATTATCTGGTTGGTGTATTAATAATAATAGATTGTTTAAATAATACATCTGAATTAAATATCAAAAGTAAAATAAACATATAGTAATAAATTTATTTTTATTTATATATATATACTTACAAAAAAATGTTTTTTTTTAGATTCAACTATTATTATCAACTCTGAACTTTTCAATTGCTCAAAAATCAAATTAGATCTAAAATGGAATAGACATCAGATTGAGGCTGCAAGATTTATATCAAATGATATTCAAACAAATGGATTATATAAAGAAATTATGAATATGTATATATTGTATTATTCATTAGAACAAGCTCTATTAGATATATGAGTTTATTTTTATAAAAATATAATGTATACAATATCTAAATCTATTGGCGATTACTATAAAGTAAAGTTGAAAGTTGGTGAGATAGTTGAAGCTACACTACTTGGTGAAAATAAGCAAATGTTTGGTAAAATAGTTAGTATAATTAAACATACATGGAATAATAATCAAGAATATATTTTTCTTCGTTTCAAATAGTTGAAAAATCTTAATGAAATGGATTCTTTGTTAGGCTGTCCAATTTTTCAAATTCAACATTTAGATAATAATTCTTTGAACCAAATTCACCCACTTTCTGTAGCTTTACAATCATCAAATGTTTCATTTATTTACTATTGCAAGTCAAAATGTTCTTTTCAGCAGCATGATATAACAGATTATGAGTATATTCAAAATGATTTTTTTTTCAAAGCAATTTAAATATAAAATTTTAATATAAAAGTTACAAACAATATGTAGAACTAAAGTGTATATCAATTTCTTAAATATTATCTTACATAAATATCATTACTGAAAAAGAGTTTTAATAATATTTTAAATATAAATATGCATAGCATACATACATATAAAACAATATCTAGTTTTTCGATTTTTTCTGATTCATGATTAATATTAAGAAGATTTTTAATTGTAAAAATATACATATGTATGTATTTAGTATCAAAATTTTTGTTAATCTCTTACTTGCATCTGTGTATAATACAAAATTCCCACAGTTATAAATATGATTAATCCAACTTTCTTATATCTTGTTCGAACACTCATTAATAGAGTACAGTAGTTTAATAAATATATCAAGAAAATAGTTTTCTAGAATTTCAAAAACTAAAATATAAAGTTTAGTTGAACTTGCTAAAAATATAAATCTAATTTAAACAGATCTAGAAGATATAAACAATTACACTAATAAGTTTTACAAATCTAAATTGGGTAGCTTAACTTAATAGATCAAAGTATTGGTCATAATAGTTTAAGTAAAATACTTCTAATCTAAGATCTTAATGTTTTATATTTGATTTATGAAGATAGTTAATAATATTAGCTAATTGGTGAAATACTTGCTAATTTTATAGAATTTATTTACATAGTCGAATGATTCACAGCCTAGAAGAAAGCGATTGCATGTAAGAAACTAATAACGATTGATGTATTAGTAAAAAAAATATCAGTGATTTGATTTTAAAAAAAAAATAAATATAATACTAACATTAATATTTATCTCTATAACTTTTCATGTTCTCTTTAGCAAGATCAGAAATTTAGCATTCAAAAATGAACAGTAACTTTTTATAAGTATAGTTTACAAATATATTATCTTTGATTTTCTTCATGTTATTGTACTCTTTCTGCAATTTTTAAGTATATAATTAACTTGATTTTAGAAAAATGTTATATAGTAAAAAGATATTTTAATTTTACAAATCTAAATTTAATTTTTAATTTTTATTAATAGATAATCTATCTCACGATCTCAATGATCATAAACATAATTGTAGCAAATTGCAAAGAAGAAAGCTTTATTTCTCTTCAATTATATTATATGATCTTGAACTTTCGTTAACTGCACTTATACTATTTATTACTTTAATTGATTTCTTATAATTCTATTTATAATTGCGATTAAACCATGTAATTACAAGATCATCCAAACTTGACATGTGAAACTAATCGATAAGTGTTATTTTTATTATATAACATTTTTTTATTTTTGAGTGTATATTTGACTATTTTTTCAATTCAGGTTTTCTTCATAGACAACACATCATGAATACCAACTTTTACTGTAGAATGATTTTGAATGTAATAATTGTGGTTTAGATATTTTGTGCTTTTTATTTTTTCTTATTTTTATGATGATTGGCTTGTTTAATTCAAACAGTTTATTTTTTGAATATGATTTAAATTGGGAATATCTGTTTTTTTAAAAAGCCAGCTTTCAACTATAAGAATCAGTCTATTTTAACATATAGACATTAATAATGCTCTTGTATTTATTATATATCACAATAAAATGTAAATTATATTATTAATAAGTATAAAAATATAATAAAAAAGTTCTTTATAATCAATTTAAATATCAAGGCTTTTTTTTTATCGGCTATTGTAATAATTGTAAAAGCCTTAATCTATGCTATTACAATTCTAAATTATTTATTTAAAAGGTTCTTACTAGCGCAATTAATAAGCTTGATAGCAAACCTTATAATATCTATTATAGGCCTGAAAAAATTCTAATATTTGCCTTATATAAAAACTGCAATTTTTGGTAAAGTAATTAAGATTTAGTAAGCACTGAAATTATTGTAATATTTATCATGTAAAAAAAAACTTTTTTATCACTACTCCAATGATATAGTCAAAGTTGAATTGGTTTACATCAAAATTATTATGATTTTGTGATATTACTGCAAAAAATTTTGGCACATACTTACTATACATGCCATAGAAACTATTTCAGCATTGATTTTGATATGAAACTACTGAGGTATTTAAATAGTTTCATATCAAAAATTAATGCCAAAATAATTTCTACAGCATGTATAATACTTACTCGTTATTCCGGTGACTACAGAATAGAGATGCGATCTGTTATCTGTTTTCCTATTTAAAATTTAACAGATATCTGGATATTTGGTTTCTTTATAATAATTTGTTATAAAATTAAATTAGCGGATATCCAGATTGCATCTCTACCACAGAATATTATTAAGGCCGAGTTAGGTTTATTGAAATTATTGTGATTTCTATTAGTTATTGTTGAATAATTGTAATTTCTATTGTGAGTTGCTGTAAAAATTTAGTACAAAGTTAGGCTCGCTATAAAATTAGATATCTAGACTCATTGGCTCAATATTTTTTGCTCAAATTTTTTATTTATAATAATTGTATATTAAAATGCAAGAAAAAAAAACTCATTGATTGTTTTACGTGAAATTTTTTATTTATATGTAAATTTGTTTCTTTACTTTGAATTGATACTTCGACTGATTTATAATTTTTAAAAAATTTACTATTATATTTATTGATTGACTTTACATAGTTTTGATTAATTATAATATTGGACACCTTAGTAAACTATATATTATAGTATAAAGTAATTATGGCAAATAATACAGCATATATTATAAGGATGCTAATATTTATTATCTAATATTTATTTACTATAGAGGTAGTGCTCAAAGATAAGCTGGCTTATCTTTAAACACT